ACACCTGTCCCACATGCTGATGTGACCTCTTGACCCTCAGCTGATTCTGAAGGATTGAGTTGGGAACCTTTTTCAGACCTGGTTGGTTTCATAGAGCATGACTGTGAGGAGGTTTTCTGTTGGTATCTTCTTGGGCCAATCAGAGACATTACCTACACTGACAGTTTGTGTGTTAAATCATGATATTCACATGTACATTTGGTTCATACAGACACAGGCAGAGGACTGCAGACTCTCAGAACCATCAAGGTAATCCAGATTCCCTAAATGCATCTTCAGGAAGAAAAAAAAAATCAAAAATGTTATTTTATTCTGAAAATCACAATGTGGAAACTTCAAGGAATAAACATAGCAAGTCGCTGACAGGCTGAAGTTGTTATGAAAGTGTTATAATGTTAGAAATAAATGATTTAATGGTTTATTAAAATTACTTTTTTTTAAACTTTGATCATATTTTGTTAAACTCAACATCCACTTGTTCACCTTCTTTGTGACCACGTGCCTGATATTTGCAGTAATTCTGAATTCTAACTGAAACACGAGCATACATTTAAAACCATCACAAAGCACACGCTGACATATGCACAAAATGTTATTTTAATATTAAGTTTTATATTATTCATAAAGAAATAACTGTATATTGTTTATATAGCTTTCTTATAGGTTTTGTGCTCGATCTGTTAGGCAGTTAATGATTTATTTATGTGTGTTTTGCCTTTTAATTTATAAGAAAGAAATAAGTTAAACTGCTGCTTCATAAAAAAATACAAATATGATTAGTGAGGTAATTTGTGTAGTCACCACTTTTTTAAACATTTGAATTGGTTACTGTTTGGAATTAGTTACAGGATCAAGTGTAGATCCTGTAGTGACGTTTGAATGTTAAAGCTTTATCTGTTGGTGTTTGTGTGGCAGCCCGGTCAGCTGATTATTTCTCTGCCGGAGTCGTGCCTCCTCACAACCTCCACCGTTCTGCACAGCTACCTGGGACGGTACATCAAGAGGTAAACACAGAATGTAAACATATTCCAATATTTCCATCCTCTATACGGCATGCAGGATTTAATCTATGTATTAGGGGTGCAACATACACAAAATTAACAGTTCGGTTTGATACTTTGGTGTCACGATTCGATATTTTTTCGATACAAAAAAAATGGTCGTCCTTTTTTAATTTGTCATTTATTAAAATTATAAATATATATTTTAACTCAAACGTACAGTTTTTAAATTACATGTTGCTGAAACAACAAAGGGATAAGAGAAATCACTCATCTTTGGAAAAGAGAGTTTATTACAGAGAAATGTCTCTTTCCAAAATAAAAGCTCTACTATCCGCTTCTTCTGGGCTATATTCTCAGCAGCATATTAAACATATCAGGTCCCCATAAGGAGAATCACGTGCTAACGGCTGTCTAAATGACTCAGGTAGTGCTTGTTGTTTTTGTCTGCTTCCACTTGTCTTTGCACTAGGATGATGTCGGCGTAAGTGTGCAGTCATATTCGTTGTGTTCCCACTAGTGCTGTCAGCTTTAATCTGAAATGACGTTAACGCCACAACACGGCAAATCTCCGTTAACGAGCTACCGCGGATCGCCCGTGCGTGGGGCTGGACGGCTAACACGTTAACGAGCTAACTGCGCTAACGCACTAGTTCCCACCAATGTAAGTGAGCATTGCGTGGCACATCCAACATAATGTTTTACTTTTGTCCATGACGCGCTTACCTTCAGGGTCGTGCTTCACATGAAGATCAAAATAGTTCCAAACGCCAGATCTGAATGAGGGTGGGGGAGGTTCAATTTGCCATGTTGCAAGGAGAGCTTAGCTTCTGTCTCGCTAGCTTGTGCTGTGCTCAGTGAATCTGCGCTCGACAGTGCAGCCTAGGTGGAGTAGTCAAACGCAGATCCACTGAGCTCTCAACACAGACAGCATCGTCAGAAGAAAAGTTGATAAAATAAATTTAAAATTTTGTATTGTTCGATACATATGCGAACCGAAAGCACTGTATCGAACGGTTCAATATCGATACGAGTATCGTTGCACTCCTACTATGTATGTGTTAGATCGTCATAAGCTTACACAAGTTCAGACTCAGTGCCAGGTTAATTGTGCGCCTGTACTTCACACTATCTCAGCACACAGAAGGATTCAGCTGATGGACTCTGAGTATTTTAGCCAGAATGAGATGAAACCAAACTGTTTCTGGGTGTGTGTTTTTTTTCTCTCTGCAGCTGGAAACCTCGTCTGTCTCCCCTCCTGGTCCTCTGCATCTTCTTGGTGTGTGAGCGGCACAGAGGAGAGGCCTCTGATTGGTTCCCTTACATCAATGTGCTGCCCACAGTTTACACCTGCCCCGCCTATTTCAGCGATGATGTCATGGCTCTTTTACCTGCCAGTGTGCGGAGGCGGGCCTTGGAGCAGAGGGAGGCAGTGAAGGAAATGCACTCCACCAATCAGGAGTTTTTCAGGTGAGTGCGGTTAAGGCCGGGATTTGTACTCGCTTGTGGATCAGCTCGTTTTCTAAAAATTGGCTGAATGCATCAGAATAAAAGTAATTGTTCAAATGATGTTTAGGCTTCTTGTGTGAAAAGTGAATGATCGCGTTGTGATTGGTTCACTGGTTCAGGTCCCTGCAGCCAGTTCTGAGTCAGCCCACAGCGGATGTTTTGACCTATGAGGCGCTGAGGTACACCTTCCTTATCTTTGACCAAATGAACCATTTACATAACAGCATTAGTGAATGAGAATACTATCTCTAACTAAGCTCCTCCTCCTTTCCCAGGTGGGCGTGGTGTAGTGTCAACACACGCACAGTCTTCATGAGCCATGCTTCAAGCAGCTTCCTGTCAGGACCTGATAATTATGCTTTAGCTCCCTTCCTGGATCTGCTCAACCATCGCCCTGACGTGCAGGTAAATGTGATGCTGCAAGAATACTGTAGCTGTTGAGTCGGAGATGGTTGTACTGATTGAGAGTGTATGACTGCATTTCTTTTGTCAGGTAAAAGCAGGTTTTAACGATGTGACAAGATGTTATGAAATCAGGAGTGTGTCTGGGACTCTGCGCTACCAGCAGGCCTTCATTAACTACGGTTCCCACGATAACCAGCAGCTGTTGTTGGAGTACGGATTTGTCACCACTGCCAATCCCCACAGTGTGGTCTATGTGGACACAGGTAAATCTCTGCAGTAGGTTTTATCATGGGGAAGTTTTTGCCCTATCGTCGAATCAAATTTATATTTACATATATTGATCATGATATATTTATGACAGTGCTAATGAACTTTTATGAACACTCCCTGGACTTAAAATAGGTCATTACTTTACATGTTGGTAATCTGAAACAAGCTCTTTCCCTTCCTTCATTCTTCTTTTAAGTTCATTCTGTTTGGCTACCTCTCACAAACAGCCATCATCCCCTCTCACTGCTACAAAGCAAACAGGGGAAAAAATAAATTTAAAACGAGTGTTTAAAGCAGTATTATGAAGCTTAAGCCTTTGCTTAGAGGGATTACTTGCACATACACCGACCTCATTATTTAAAACTTTGGAAACATGTTTATTATTTGCATCTGCCAGTGTAACATTAGATATATAAGAGAAAATATGGAAAACTGTTTGGCTTAAAACTTGATGTTTGTGTTTTTCACTGTGGTCCCTCAGATCTGCTCTGTGATGTTTTAAGAGGCGACAGAAGTTTGACTCAGAAGATCAAGTTTCTCAGAGAGAACAGTTTCCTTCAGTAAGACTCGGTTTACATACTTAATGATTCAGCTGTAAACAGGACTAATACTTAACTCGGATACAACTGCAAAATGGAAAAATGCCTTCATATGTTTCCTGCCTTCCTGCCAGTAATCTCACTGTGTCCAGTGACGGCCCCAGTTGGAGGCTGATGACGGCTCTCAGGCTGTTGTCGTTGCCACAAACACTGTAGTAAGCCTAAACACACATTTATGCATGTACATCGATGTGTTTTGCTCCAAAATCTGGGCGTCCATGCACAATCTGGATCAGTTTCTCTGTCTGTGGAGTGTGCCTGAACATGTGTGTGTGTAATTTACAGCCACCAGTGGAAGGCAGTGTTGCTCGGCCAGCTGGTGTGTGAGGAGAGAGAGCAGTGGAGCGTCCGGATGGCTAAGAGTCTCTGTCAGCGACTACTGCAAGACACATGCAGCGCACTAGATAAGGTGTGTGCACATGTGCAAGAATTTAACTCTGTCCCTGTTTTGCAGCACCTCACCTGATTCCTTTTTTCTCCTGCACTGTGTGTGTGTGTGTGTGTGTGTGTGTGTGTGTGTAGGTCTCACACCTCCTCCAACAATGTGAGCAGCCAATTAGGGAGCAGCTAAATGTGGTCAAGTCACTGCGGCAGGAAGAGAGGTGCATCCTGGGAAGCTGCCTCAAGGCACTGGAGGAATCACTCAGACATAATGACAGTCCACTCGGTGCTGTGAACTGACATCTGATTGGCCCTCTGATCTGACAGCTGCTGCAAGAAGTCAAGTGATTGGCTGAAGCGTTTCCTGTGCTGTGTGTTGACTGAGAAAAGCAATAGGATGCTCTGTTACAGGCTCTCATCACCACCAGCTTAACTGCTCTAAGCAAAATACTACTACAGAAAGGATGCATCTCCAGTTTTAAATCCGCTATTTTATATATTTATTTTTGCTTTAATTAGTTAGATTTTGTATTACACATTTTATGAAGCCACCAAATATCCCAGCTGCTGTTTATGTTGTAATTTACAGCTCAAAGGGACATATTTCAATTTTCAACTCCATCTTTTTAGTGTTGGAATCTACTAGAGCAGCTTTGAATGATTCAATATAATCCCTGTTTCTGTCATACTAGGACTTGGTCCTCAATTTGATGTTTTAAGTCTATTAAAACCCCTTTAAGCCAACTTTCTTCTGATTGGCTGCCCTTCACAAACAGATGGATCTGAAACGAACAAACAAAAGATCTGTTGCATAATAAACAAAAAAGCGGCCTTGTTTTTTAATGAAATATGATTTTATTGAGTCAGATGACACCTTGTGCATTTCTAAACAAACATTAGGTGATGAAGAGTGATCAGATTTTTATGGATATCACTGGCTCTGGGAAAAGAGTTTCTTCTGCAGTGTGAAGTAAAACTGTCCAGGTGACTCTGAAACTCAAGCAGGTAATGATTGAGCGCCTTTTTTCCTGTTGTTATCATATTATTGGGCCTGAAACAGATCATAGTTCTGTGTTAACAAGTAAACAGTGACTGATTGGAACAGAGTGTCACTGCAGAGAGAAGTGATCCAGCTGAGCTGTTTTCTTTTATCTCTGCATAATGTGATTAGTTAGGTCAGAGCTGAACAACAGCCTTCGTCTTTGGGTGACGCTGGACAGTCTCCATGGCAACTGTGGCTTCATAGAGGGGGACTGCTTCCTCGGGCTGAGGCCTGCAGAGAGACACAAGGTGAATTTGATCAGAGACCCATTACAGTCTAATTTTAAAACAATCTGAATCCCCAAATCCATGAAATAACTACGGTCTGTACCAACATGTCATTTGTCTTTTAAACTAAAGGCTTATTAAATTAAACATTTACTTCTTAACCTTAAAAGAATGGTAGGCTATTAGCAATCGTTCCAGTCTTCTTCACCCAAAGCAGGTTTGACACCCCCGCACTAAACTGGAAACTAAACTTCTGCAAGTGCTGTTACAGCAGAAGTCTAATGTTAAAAATAATGAGATATTTCATCCAGATCCAGACAGATTAGGCAAATTCCAGAGCTGTCAAAAATAGAAGAAGTCTGCCTTGGACATGTGAAAGGGAAAGGCCTACCTTCTATATGTTAGAATTTATTTAATGTCTGCTTGTAAAGATTTAGCAATAAACAAATTAAATGCCTGGAGAAAAAAAAAAAGCATACAAGAAGACAGAGGTGAAACAAACTGTTTTTGTGCATTTAAATAGGCTTCATTCCAAACAAATACACCATTAAAGCTAATTCAATATCAGTGGCTAATGAGGACATATGTCCCCTGTGAAACTTCATCACACTTCTGGTAATGTTCCAAACATATGTACAAATTGTCTAAGCTGCTGGACTTGGGACTTCTGCATGTTTGTGGGAATCATATGTGAGCATCCTGGAAACTGGAAAGTTGACCTCGTGTTAAAATGTGGATTTGTGTACTTTATCTAAGATAGTATGATCCCACTGAGAAATGTGATCCAGCACTGCTTAAACTAGATTTTGAGGTTACCTGAGTACTCCGCTTGACATCTTCTCCACGATATCCTTCAGAATATCTGCAAAAGTCAGTTAAGGCTTCAGAAATGCACATTATAGAGTTAAGGTTTTAGATTATATGCTGCAAGAACAGGATACGGAGGTATCTTCCTTGCTGTGATGATGATGCTGTCCAGACTTCAGGGTTTAGGAAGGACACAGAGGCTGATTTTAAATAAAGTAATCTGCAATCTGGAGGGTCCAACTGCAAATACACAGAGACACAGAGAGGTGAGGAAAGTGATACTGAAGACAGACCAGACTGAGCTGCATTCAGATGCTTTAAAGCCAGAGAGGTTATTTCTATTCAAATAGTAATAATAAACTATGAAGTTATCAATTTATGATGCCGCTGTTGAGTCTGACCCCAGCTCACCTGCAGGTCTTGGTGGGATGTAACCCAGTGGCCGCCCACTCCCAGCACACTGATGATGTCATGTTTGTGTGGAAGTAATTTCTTCTCTTCTGACTCCACTTCCTCCTCCCCTTCATGCAGATGAACTACACACACACACACACAAACATACACAAAGGTCTTTTCTAATGTGTCTGATTTGTGCCTCTTCATCCTGCCTGTGACCAGATGTCTGACTGCAGCACCTTGAAGGATGCATCAATGAAGGATGGAGGAGAGTCATGAGAGGAGCACAGGTGTGTCCACGACGTATAAAACAGGTGCACGACACAGTCTCAATATACGAGCTGTGGCAGGAAGTCTTTATGTTACAGATATTTTAGTCATTCCATCACAACTCATCAAAGGTGCCTTGTTGAGTGGCTGCAAACATCTGTAAAACTGAAGTTTTGCATGATTGGACATCCAGATAGTGTAGAAACTTCAAGTATGTGAGGAAAAGCAATTTTATTTTTTTTACCTCCAGAGTCAACAACGATATCCACTCCCAGTCCTCCCGTCTCCTCCATAACCGCCGACAGCAGTTCTGATGAGCTGTTATACACTGGAATAACTCTGACTTCACACATAAACACACATATATGAGAGAATGAGTCACTGCAGCTCAGAAAACATTTAAAACTAAGAAACCGACTGAGTTGTGTGTAATTCTACTCTGATCACATTTAATTTGCAAACTGCAGTTTTCACTAACGACCACATGATGGCAGCAGATTTTAGATGAAATAATTATTTCTGCAAAACTAGAAAAAAAAAATATTACTAATGGCTTATCTTCCCATAAATAGAATTACAGCTCAAACACCAATGACAGTTATGTTACTAATCAAGCTAGGAAGCAAGGCAAGTCAGTGGGGAAGAGAGGAAAAGAGCTCACCTACTAAGGGATCCTGAACACCTGAGGAGAATATGAAGGTGAGGAGAGGACAGGATGCAGAGATGAAAACAGGTTGGAAGCAGAGTATGTGAATATGAAAGTAATGACAAGAAAAGGCCAGTTTCGGTATCTCAAAATGTGATTTTGGAGAACATTTCAAAGATGATCGTCAAGTTTTTTAATGCGAGCTACAGAAATGTCAGCGTGGGTCGGTACGCACCTACGCTGGGCCGAAGCTGCTCAAGGAAAGTGTGATTCTGTGGCGAGTGTGACGTCGTCAGCACCTTCGCCCCGTGGTAACAAGCCAGCTGGATACACATGAGGCCAAAAGACTTCGCAGCAAGAGGGATGAGATCATTACTCGTGAGTGCAATCAAACTAGAGCTTTGCTTTACAAGGTCGCACACAGTTTATATTTTGAGTGTTTTTACGTACGCTGGCTCCGTCCGTGACCAGGAGCGTGTGTCCGGCCGCCATACGAGCATGTGTGTGCAGAGCAGTGTAAGCGCAAAGGCCGTCACGCAGCGCTGCTGCCACACACACCGAGCTGAGCTTCTCTGGCTTCTGAACTTGAGATCACAGAAACACAAAAATGCTCACTGAACAGCTTTTTATAGGATTTTATTTACAAGATTTCAACTTTTAAGATTCTTAAAGTTCTTAACTTTACGTTGCTCTAAAATCCATCTGCCTAGAAGGTGATTGTCACTCCGTTCTTTTCCAAAGATTATAAATGTAGTCAGAGACTATGGGGGTGGATCAGGGTAGTGTGTGCACTTCAGGTGCTTTTACATTTCTTTCAATCTGAAAGTTCTGATTCAAAAAAGTTGAAAGTTCATGCGGTGCAGAGGTAAGGTGGACACACACAAAAACATTCTGCCCGTCGACTTTGAAGCAGAGCCGAGAACGGGTTCACCTTTTAGATCAGAGTGACCCTTTTTCTGAAATGATCGGTGAGTCAGTGCTGTGATATTTAGTAAAGTCAAGAGTCAGAATAAAAAACATAACATAGACCTAAAAGAATTTAGAAGTAAGTTTACTATGTCATAAAATCTGATAGATGAAAGTAGGAAAAAGAAAATTCACATAATAAAGATGTGAGAGAGCGTGCATCTCACCTAAATAATATTCATCGGTGTCAATGACCTCACAGAGTCCCGAGAAGCTGGAGTCCAGGGGAAGGATACCTGAAGAGGGAAGATGAAAATGGGAAATGTGGAGCCGCTTTCACAAAGATAAAGTTTAGAGAAATCAAACAGACTTCAGAGAGATCTCTAAGTTCTTTGTACTACAGTACAATGAATTAAGACTTGCTTGTAAGAAGAAGTGACTCCATGTCTATTTACCCTAGCAGAGAAATATCTTTTCTAACAATTCAATAGTTAAAAGGAAATTTTACTTTGAAAATTTAGTGGGAAAAAAAAGTGTTAATCCGACTGTGCATTAAGGAGACAAAAAAACCTCATCCTTCATCACTGAGTTAGCTCGGGGTCGTCAAGGTTATCAAATTCTTTTGGTTTTAAATGACTGTTAGTGTCTTTATTTTTGTGCAAGTTAGGACTTGTTTAACCCTAAAAACCAGTCCAAGTGTGTTAAAGTTATTTTGGTTATGACATCTTCTTGAATATGATCTAACAACATTCAAGGTTTCAGTCAGATCTGATATTAAAACATGTCCAACTTAGAAAACTGAGTCACAGTTCAGAAACAATGAACAATCAAAGACGTCTGTAAACACAAGTATTTATTCTTAAAAAGATTTAAACTTATAGAAATTCCCAAGTTGCAATCCTACAGAAAACCTCACATTCGCCATTTAAAAAATCATCCCTACCTACAACCTCGTCATCCGGCTGAAAGAAGGTAACCTTGGGACCAACTGTCAGGAAAAAACAAACAAACAAGGAAACAGACACAAAAATTAAGACCCGTGAATGATGCATCACAAGGTCTCTTACTCACTCGGCACGAAAACACACACGTGTGAATTTGTTCTGAACAATAAAGCTAATTTCAGAGTCAAAATTTGTGTCTGTTTGCGACCTTGAAGGACGACCCCGGCCACCTCTCTGCCGACAGGGATTAAATCCCTCTGCATCCCGACATCTCTGAACAGCTGTAATAGACATCAGCAAAGTAGTGAGTTATTATCAGTGATGCATTTATCAAATTATTTCAGTTCAGAGGCAACAAAAGCAGCAAGAAAGAAAAATTAAACCACAAATGTGTCTTCTTTTGATGTTTTTAAACACATTGTGAGTGTGCCTCAAACAAACAAGCAGCTTTAAACAAACAGCTTTTCTAACCCATCAGGTAGGTAGTTTTTTTTTAATTAATATTTTAAAGCATTTTGAGATCAGGTCCATCCTCTTAATACGATTAGAAATCTCTTCCACATTTACAAAATCACAGTTAATAATAGATTAAGCCCTGCTGTAGGCTACTGTAGCTCATTAATGGGAGTTACGATGAGCTACTACCTATATGGGAAAGCCTGGAGCCGGAGTGAAATAAGGTAAAGCCCTGAGTCATTATATTTATTTTTGGATGGTTCACTTATGAAACAATTATGTTTCTTACTTTTTGTAGTTTTATTCTTTTACTTGGCGGCACTGTGGTGCAGTGGCTCTGCCTTGCAGCAAGAACATCCTGGGTTTGAATCTATCTGGGGATGTTTTGGCAGAGCTTCCATGCTCTCCCAGTGTCTGAGTGGGTTCTCTCCGTGTACTCCGGACTTTCTCCAAACACATGCGTGGGGTAGGTTAACTGGTTTGACTGTGAGTTTAAATGGTTATCTGTCGCCCTGTGTTAGCCCCGTTACAGACTGGACCTGTCCAGCCCTCTTGACCTATGAGAGCTGGGATAGACTGTGTGGATTAATTCCAGTTTTGGCAGAACTAACATGCACTATAACTAAGCTACACTAACCCACCGGGAAACATGTTCAGCCACAGGTCTCACACTGTTAGTACCTTAAGGTCCAGTGGGCTGAGTCCACACGCCTTCACCTGAACTCTGACCTGATGGCTGCTCAGGACATCTGGGAGAGTCTGGAGAGAAACACACAAAGCCGCTCAGTGTAACAATGAAGACAAAGGTAGAAGTCATAAACACAAAAAAAACAGCAGAAACGTAAAATATGTTTACACTAACTAAGAAATAAATCATGCATATATCTGACATGATCTTCTTCTAAACATTTTAATGCAGCTTACTATGAAAGAGCAAAAACACCTGCTAAATAATCATTTTTACAGACAGTTAGTTGTTATACATATTCAGAGAAGCAGGGATTGTTCAGTTGACTGAGACTAATCAGCAGCAGGGAGTTAAATATGCAGATTAAGCCTGCACAGCTAATTTGCTTTTCTAATAAGTTCCTTTAATACTGACGTGCTGTAGTTGCTCAGCTGGAACCTCAAACTCACCATTTCCTGGATAACGAACTTGGGTTCAGCATCACTGACAGCTCGGCAGTACAGACCTTTCATAACGCTGCAGATTTTCATCAAATCCACAAACACAGAATATCAAAATATTATAACGTGACCGACTGGACTAGTGCTCTTCAAATAACAGCTGAGTCTAATATAGGAAAAATCAAACCGCCGGGATCGGATGGATAAAGTCAATCAGCTGACCTCCTCTTCTTCGTTGTTTTTTCTTTCTATGACTACAATACCGCCCACTACTGGACATGTAATATGAAATGAATCATTGGTGTTCGATTTCGTATATAATAATAATAATAATAATAATAATAATAATAATACAAGAAGAAGGAAAACAGTACGTTAATTAAAACTGTTTTAAGAAAAACTTATGCCTTAACAAAAGCCAGTGAATTACTAGCAAAACCTCAGTTTAATGAATGAATTTCTGCATTTATTTAGTTAATTTTATTTTTCTGCTACATTAAACCAATTCTGTTCTAGTTTTGCTTTATTTTATTTTACAACAATGAGCTATTTTTTGTCAAAGGGTCAAAATATTATGTTTTTAGTAATTTCCACTTGAGTGATATTACTATAGTAGTATTTGTTTTGTAGCTCGGTTTTATTCTACTTAATAAGGCTATTTTATTTTGGTGTTGGTTTTCTGTATGTGTTGCCTGCAAGGATGAAATCTTAGCCATGTCGTATTTATTTATCTATGTGATTCATTACATATTTTACATTATTGCTAAGAGTTTTTAAAATTATTATTAATTTATTCTTAAAATGTATGAATGTATGTATTTTCTAATTAACAGCTGCCAACAGGAGCGCTACTAATCCGTTTATTTCGTAGAGAATCCCTGTGATCCGGACAAGAAAACCGTTCTCGCGAGATTGCGTCGATGTAATTTACCGTGAGAGAACATCTCGCGATATCTCAGTGGCGTTACCCCATTTTCCAGCTGTCCCTCAGTCGGTCAGGATTCCAGAGCCAAGGGAGATTCACCGGAAAGGGTTTTAGTGATAAAACAGCAAATTTTGGGAGAAGAGACCACATTGTGTGGTCACATAAGCACCCATCTGCCCAATTTATTCAGCATTCAACGATGGAAAGTGAACTATGAGGTAAGAGCCGAGTGCAGTGTGGGTGATGTGAAAGAATGTCCCTGAGCGGGCTGGCGTTAGCTCATCACTGGTTAGCCTGCTCGCTAACTGCACTGACAGCTTTAGAGGCAATAAATGGATTTTTTTTTTTACCGGCGTGGGATGTACTCCTATCAGCCTCCATAAGTGATGTGATGAGATGTTCAAGAATTTAAGGAAATGCGTGATATTAGTTATTGAAACAAGATCGGAGCGTAAGGAAACTGTTAAGACGATGCTACCCACCCACTGTTAATAGTTAGCCTGCATGCTAATGTTAAATCACTGCATCTGCATTGCCTGCCTGCGACCTAACGTTTAATTTCACAAACGTGTTCCTTGTGTTTATATGGAGTGTCGCTAGTACCCGGATCGGCTGAGAGTAAGATGATGAGACGACAGTGCTGACGGTGCGAGGTCAGAGAGCTGCTCTCAGGGTGGAGGTTTGTTCAGTAAGCCTAGCCTTTGCTGATATAAGTCCGGATTTTAGCCACAGCTGCTTGTCCAGTCAAAACAACGCTCCGAGTGCTTTATAATCTATCTGAAAGGGCTTAAAATCGCCCGTGTGTGTTGAGCGACACACTTCATCATTTAGCGAGTCCAGCTGAGATGATGCGGGAAGTGAGGAGGGATTGCCAAACGAATCTTTCCTGTTACTGTTTTCCAGAGAATTTAGCACACTCCCTCTGCATTAGAGAAGGTGTAACATCAGCGTTTTGATTGACAGGGCTTACTAGGCTTCGTCGGCTCGGTCTGGTTTCCATGGTAACGTGGATGCTGAGTGGCCGTCGTGAAGGTGGGAGGACTGGAGCTTGTTTCATTCCCGAGTTGATTAAAAAAAAAAGAAAAGAAAATCTAGCCAGTACTGCTTTGATGTTGTTATGAAAACTGGAAGAAAGTGGGCTAAGAATGAAAGGAAGAAATCTGAGCACGTTATTTTTTGCTAACCTAACTGGACATTGCTTGGAAGTGTTGTTGTATTTCTGCTTTGCACTCTCACTCAGTTCATGGCTGGTGCTTGTTGGGTCTGCATCCACTATTACACTTGTTTGGGATTGTAATTTCCGCGTGTTCTAATCAGTGATAATGTTCAGGTAATAGGATTTAAATTCAATAACGTGAGACTTGTAAAAAGACAAAATGCCAGATGTAGCGTTTCAAGTCTGTCTAATGCATTTTAATAATGGTCGTTATTGGTAGGGGACCTGTGTTAACCTGACACACAAAATTAACATGAGACAAAAAATGTGATCCACAGCTAACTCTCCTCAGCAGAACAAAACATAATGACATGCACTAATTACTGTACATTTACAAAAATGCACTCACTGAATAGCATGCTGTGTAATGCTAGCTAACAGTCTTTCAGCAGTTACAAGGGAATCCATCAGTTCACAACAGAGACTGATGGTAGATGTAGAAAGGAGCAGCCATGCATCAGAGTAACCTTATACCTAGAGAGGATCTGTTTTGCATCTTTTTAAAACTGCTCTCTGTGTCTGTGCTGGACTTTGGCTTTAGGCAGGTCTGTGTTTATTTAACAGGGACAGTGCATGTTAATGAACATCAGTGCAAGAAGATCTAACAAGCCAGAGTTTAGCAAAACTGCTAACTTGCCTCAGTTGTGACTGTTCAGGTCACATAAAACTATGTGATAAAGAAAAACGTCAAGATATGTAACAAAACAAACAACATATCAGACAATAAAAGAGTTTAAAATGATCACATGCTTCGTTTGTGATAAAGCATTGTTTGAGATGCGCCTTAAAAGTGGCATATGCAGAGGGCTCCTTTATTGGTATTGATAATCTGAGGTGGACTGGTGGTAGACATCGAAGGCTCTGATTGTTTCTAAGTGTATTTAGAGTCCCTATCCCTATCATAAGTCAATCATTTCAATATATTTTCCCTGATTGGTTCTGGCTTCAGTCGTTTGTTTTAAGAAATCATCCACTCACTTCGTGTTGCCAGTGGTTATTTTGTCTGCACCAGATTGGCCAAGATATCTCCCAACTACCACAGAGGAGGGCCTTTTTTATATTTCTTTGTAAAATGTGCTTTATGTATATATGATATCATACAGCCCTGATTTCTCCTGTAGATAGAAGGCAGGGCTTGAAACAGTCACAAACAATGCTCACAACAGTGTATTTATTGTATGGAAAGAACGTGAACTATTGTGGTAATTGGTGAACCAGTACGGTTGTCTAATAAAGCGAAAAAGAAGAAGCTCAGTGCAACAAAGGTGAATATGTCTGTGGTCACTAAAATACCACACCTGTGGTTTCCTATAAACCTAACTGCATGAAGGGTTATAAAAATGAGTCGGACACAACAGACTTTTCTTAGTTATCTCTGTGTTTTCATTGTGACTCTAAATGATGAGCTGAAAAAAGTGATTGTGTGTGCACAAACAGACCGACAAATGAGTGGTATGTTGATATATATGAGTGATATGTGGCAAAGGAGAGTTTCTGTGACTTCTTAGAAAGTGTGACGAACAGTGGATAGCATTAGATGTCATCTAGCATGTTCGGCGTTAACCTGGTGAAGACTACAGCGAAGACAACATCCCAACAGTGAGGTGTGAAAGTGGAAGTGGGATTTCTACGGGGCTGCGAGAGTTCAAAAGGTGTTGAGGAGGAGACATCAATGCATCAAAAATACTGTAAAACAAGGGGAGTCTATCCCACCATAATTAACCAAACATCAATCTCAGCATCGCATAACAGTTTGTTCCAGTGTGTCCCAGAGCTCCATTCAACAGCGTTGGTTGTTTTATTTTATTTACTCTTTTTAACTGCAGGACTTTTAGAGGGTAAAAAATACAGTATAGTGCACAAACAAGGACAAAGTTTTAAGATAGATTAGGTGGTTAATCTGCATTCTATTACATGGAAACCATAACCTGGAGCCCAACTCAACATTTAACAAATCTGCTTATCTTGGTAAACTTGATCTTCTACCAGAGACCTGGGAGTTTTTTCTTATCTGTGTACATGCATGTATCAGTGATGAAACCCTGTATAGTCATACTGCCATACCGTATGACAAAGAATACCATTGGCTAACCTGATAAGACGGTTAACAGTGTAAGAAGGACAGATATAGGAAGTATATACTGCAACTGCAACTCAACACATCTCTATTCTCTCATTTCACTACCTTCGCTGCTTTGTTTACTGCTTTGGTTGCTGTAACATGGGAATTTCTCAGTTTTGTGCTAAATAAGATTTCCAACCTTGGTATCAGGGTCAGAATTTCAGCTTGAGCTCAAAGCTCCTGCACAGCCATCGTAAAGTAAAGTGTGCGTGTTAGTCCCCATAGGGAAATAGTTCCTCTGCATTTAACCCATTCACCCAGTGAAACAGTGGGCAGCCACCAGTGCAGCGCCCGGGGAGCAGTGTGTAGGGACGGCACCTTGCTCAGGGGTACCTCAGGGTAGCCGTTCAGTGGAGTCGAACCCCCGACCTTCCGATCATGGGGCCACCACTCTACCTACTGAGCTATCCCTGCCCCATTGGGTGTTGCCACTGATATTGCCTTATTACATGTTTATTCACAACAATACAGGATGTACAGTATGAACATACAGGACAAATGACGCAGTTGTTCATCACTTGCTTTGTAATCATTGTTTAACGAGATTTTATTTCACATTTCAAGAATAACAGGTAATCAGCACCAGCACTAACAGTAATCTCAGGATAAAAAGTGTTTGAGCAGCTTGAGTGAGGCAAAATTGTGAGGCTCCAAATCTACTCAGAATTTAAGAAGCTACATGGTGAGAATAGTGTTGTATTTCCTTTTTAGTTGCTGTACCACTGATGAAGTTGGTCTTGCCTTCAGATTTTAAAGTTTTTGCAGCATTACTAATCAGGGAGAAGGCAAGACATGTTATCCAGGACCCTGGTAGCAGGAGGGGCCTTTTTTTTTTTTCAAGAAATGAAATGTTTTTGGTTTGAATATTTTTTTTCTTGTTGGTGCCATGATTAAATTGCCTAAATAAATCCAGCGGGTGGATAAACTTTAATTCCAAAAAATGGGGAATGGTGGTCCTCTGATTCCACTTTCACAACTTAAAAATAATGGAGTCAGTCTGGCTTCACAGTAGGGCTGGGCTATATCATAACGTTCACGGTAATACCGGTGTAATGTTGGGCAACGATAAGAAAATGAAATATCGCGATAGAATATGGGTAAAACGCGCATGCGCAGTGCCTTTGTTTACATACGCACATGGCGGCGATGCAGAATGAGAAGGGCGAAAGTGGATCGTTAAATGAAACGGACGAACCAGAATTGGTTTGTAAAAATGCTGCAACTTCAGTGGTGTGGAACTGGTTTAGCTTTCGTCCGTCAGATACACAACAAAGCACTATTTTTGGTAGCGTATGCTAGCAGGCCGTCGTTATTACCGTGTTTTTTGGAAAATACGGCACACTTAAAATCAATCCTTTGATTTTTCTGAAAATCGACAGTGCCCTTTATAATCCCGTGTGCCTTCTGTATGAATTATGGTTGTGTTTACTGACCTCAAAACGATTTTATGTGCACGGCGCTCGAAAATCTGTCAAATGTTTTAGTGCGACTTTGCTAAGCTACGAAGGCGCAATGCTCGATGATTGTCGGAGCATTACGGCTACCGTAGTCAGGCGCCTCGCCGAGTGATACGTACTGTGCTTCAACATAATATTAACGTATTATGTGTATAACACTCGTTTTAAGTTTTTTGGATATTATACATGGTTATGCTCAGGATATGTCGGCCAATTTCCACTGGAAATGCCTTTTGGTTAAGCTGTCAGCAAGGAATTTGCATTTGCACTGTTAATTTTTTATATAACTTTAATGCACTTAAAAAAAAGCTGCTTGTTTAAGTGAAAAAACATTGATGGGTTGGTTTTTTTTTTGCACTAATAAAGTTGAGGAGTTGTAAAGTATTTTGTCTAGCGTCAATTATCGTCAGTTATATCGTTATT